CTACTGCCATTAATAGGATGACTGATATCCTAGAACGTCTAGCGGAGAGACAGGGTCCTGGACCATTCCAATAACATGTGAAACAATAAGTGAGAGTGATAAAGTACACTCTCACTTCAATCAATTAACATTCAACATCTCAAGTTCAAGTATCAAAGTTATATAATAACACACAAGTGAGTAGTACACTCACCAAGCTCGCAAATGTGGTTTCATGCACTTCCGTCAAAAGAACGTTGTGCACCACGGTCACGTCCTAAAACATGCAAACAAATACCATGAGACTCGATAACGAGTCATAACCCAAGGCCAAACATGACCCCAATAGGGTTCCATAAGCATATACAAACATTAAAGGAAACCAGAAATTTCGGAAATGTAACTAGCTTTGGTCCTGAAAAAAAACAGTTTTTGTCCTCATTTTACGGTAATGGCACCAATTTCACTACGATTATCGGATGAGGGTGCAAGACCCACCATTTCGAAGCTAAAAGACAGGGCTACAACATCACAGAAGGTCACTCAACCCAGTTTTGAGTGCAAACAGGTCAAAAATGCAAGATACTACATCAAAAATGTAAAACAGATTCACCAAAACGCATTCTAGCGGAAACATCATAACTCAGGCTCTACAAGTCCAAATCCAAAAATTCCAAAACCAGCTGAAATCTAAGAAACAGGGCTAAATTTCATCAGATGGCCTCAACAACCAATTCGGAAGAAATTCCAGCCAAAACAACCAATTACAGGCGCAATTCTTACATTCGGGTAAAACCAGAACAGCAATAGTAATTTCGACTTTTCTCATTCTACACTACTCCGATTGACCTGAAATTTTGTAGGCACCTCTAAAATGTCATTCCCTACAACTTTCATGTTTTAAGACAAGGCTAATTCGGCCTCTAACTAGGAGCTAAAAATTCGGGCAGAATGCTCCCTCAAGAACCCTAGTTTTCTGAAATTTCTTCCAAACCAGAAATTGGTTGCAATTAATCACTTTTCCCACCTCCTAGAGTCATTATATACCCATTCTAATCATCATAGCTAGCCACACAATCATGCTTATATTAAAACAGAAAAATCCCCAAAAATAATAAAACTTCTTCACTACACCACAAATCAAGAATTAATCTATAAACTTGCATCTCATACTACCACTAAGCATGATTTAAGCATCAATTAAGGGAGGAGGGTGGTTCTTCACAACTTACCTTAAACCAAGAGAGAGAGAGCTATTGGACACCTTAACTTCTCAAATAACTTCACACAACAACTCACCAACACCTCCTTAAGTGGTTTTATGGTGCAAAATCAAGGTTGGATGGTTGGTTTTGATGATTTGGAGCAAGCTTGAAGAGTTTTCTTCCTTGTGCTTAGAGTAAGAGAGAGAGAAAGAGAGCAAGAGAGGGCCGGCTACCATGGAGGATATTTTGATGATTTTTGGGTCATTTTTGGTTTATTTAAGTCAAATGGTAAGACCATGAATAGTGGTCTTAAGGTAAATCCACTCAAATGGTGACACTTGTCACCTTATGTAATGACTTGCCTAACTTTTTGTCTCTCATACACCTATCCACTTGGTACCTCTAAATATCTCATAACACCCGGTAAATTAATTCCAGTATCCAAAACTTAACCTAGTTGGCCGAATTTTTCCGAACTTTTCGCCTTAGTGGGTCCCACATCCGGTATACACTCTTAATTTCTCAAAACCTATTCGATACTAGAAAAATCATCTAAAAATTATATCTGCTCCTTAAAATTATCTAGAATTTTTCCTAAGCACGAAAATGCAGAAAACAAGCCATGAAAAATAATAAAACCTGGAAAATGCAAAAATATGGGTTCTCACATCAAACAACAAATTATATCTCAGAAATACTTTTGTGAGGTACATTCTCCAAGACCACCAGGTGGACCAGCAACTTCAAAGACCCATTTGCCTTCCACACACTCTAAAACTGAACAAGAAATATATAGAAGTGGTCAACCAAACTACCCACAAAATAAACCCCACGTGATAAACATTTAGACAGAAATTCATAAAGATAAAGCAAGATGAAGAGCAAGTGCTTTATTTTAGGAACATTGATTTGCTTTTTCTACTTTCTTCCTTTTATTTCTTATGTTTCTTTAAACTGAGAGACTTGGAAAGGCATGGGGAGTAGTATTAAATAATGCACTTTCTTTTAAGAAAAAAACCTTATAGAATCTACCTTCAAAAGGGAAAAAAATTACAAGAGCACATGAAGATGGTGGAGGAAATTTCCAAATTATATACCTGCAACATCACAACATCACAAAAGGAGAAAAAAAAAAACCAAAAGGCTAATAGAGATGCTCTGGAAAAAAGAAGCAAGAAGAGTTTTTGAAGCAAAAAGTATTCCAGCTAGTTTTTTGATTTTGTTGCTGTCCATCAGAAGGGAAAAAAACTCCTATTAAAAAAAAAAACTAAAAGGCTAATAAAGATACTCCAGAAAAAAAGAAGCAAGAAGAGTTTTTGAAGGAAAAAAAAATATTCCAGTCAATTTTTTTATTTTGTTGTCATCCATCAGAAACAAACTAAAGAGAGAAAAACTGCAGCTTTCTTCGTGATGAGGAAGATGAGAAGAAAGAAAAACTAATCGTTAAGAGAAAGGGAGTTGGATGGCTAATGAAAGGAGTGGAGAAAAGGTAACCACTGCTATTGTCACTCAAAAGTCAGGAATAGGTAACTTTCTCCCAATCAATCACATCAGCATTTGCCAATAGCCTTAGGCTGTTGGTACCACGACATTCAAGTTTTGGTGGGGGTGGGAGGCCAAGGGTTCACTTAAAGGATTCAATCCTTGACCTCCCACCTTACCACTTAAGTGTGGCTTCCTCCGACGGGATAATTCCGTCGCTCCTCTTTCCTTTAGACTATGTTAGAGTAAATTATACTAATGTTATTGTTGCGACAAAAAAAAAATCAAATCAGTGTTTAAATAAAAAAAATACATGCACACACACATGGAGGACAACCAAACTTGCCACCAATATTCTCTTGCCACGTTATCAGGAAACCAATCCCTTTATGCCACATGGGCAAATGACCAAATATGAGGTCGGAGGTCCTTCATGCTTATATTATATGACAATGTTTTGAAAATCAGACCGGACTGCCCGGTTCGATTGGTTGAGCGGCAAATTGGCCATGACATCGGTTTGATTCTATACTAAAGTTGACGACCAAAATTGACCTGGCTAGAGGTCCTTCATGCTTATCTTATATCGCAATGTTTTGAAAATCGGACCAAACTGGCTGGTTCGATCGGTTGAATGGCGAATCGGCCATGACATTGGTCCGATTCTATACAAAAGTTGATATTGTCAAATAATCCGTCGAAACCAGTCAAATTCGTCAAAACCAGCAAATCCGGTCGAACTAGTGAATCTCGATTTTTCAATTTTTCCCTCAATATTTTTTTTAAGTTTTGTAAAATGCAGTTGCCAAGGAGTGAAATTAGGATCTTTGCAATAGAAGGACAGCGTAGTAACAATTGTACCATCACATCCAATTAATCTCTTTTGATAACACATTTATATGAAACAAATGTCCATTTTTTTTCTTTCATTTTCCCTATAAAATCTCATCCTATCATGATTCTTTCTTTCTAATTTTCAACTCTCTCTCTCTCTCTCTCTCCTCTTTTCTTTTGTCACTTCCTTTTAATCAAACCTCTTTAATTTTAATTTATTGATGTTTACTTCCATCTTTTAAATTTGTTATTGTCTATTAAATTTAAAAAAATTTAAAAAAGAATTATTTTTCTTTTACCCTAAAAACTAATTATTAAATGTCACAACCACTCACTTTTATCTCATTTATTACTTCTTATCAAGTTTGCATCTCTATTTTTCATTCTCCTGATTTCCTCCAAACTCCAAACTTTTTTTTTTTAAATTGCAATCTCTAAATCCCAAAGACGTGAATTAAAATTTAAACTCATAATGTCTAATTCCTATAGACATGAATTTTGCATAATTTCAAAATATTGTGATATTTTTGGGTTGGATTTAAGATTATTGTTTGATAGATATAATTGAGATTGAAATAAAATTTATTTGTTTCAACTTATAATTTTAAAAAATTACTTTTGAAAATCCAAGTTTTTCGAAAATATTAAACTTTTCAACATATAAAATTTTAAATTAGTTCATTGTATGTTTTATTTTGTGGATATATATATTTATATAAATATTTTTTTAAAAATTTATTGAACTAGATTAAATCAATCCGATCGATTGAACTTGATTCTAACATCTCACCTGTTCAATTAACGGTCTGAGTTTTAAAATATTGCTATATGGTTAATGAAAAGCCCAGACATAAGTATCAGATCTTGTAAATTGACTCAATGGTAGCTATCATTTGGTCCAAAATTGGGGTTCCAGATTCGGAAAGTAACTAAATTCAATAGGCGCCAAGTATTAAATAGTCAACTGTTGGATTCTTAAGGCCATTGAAAAATGAGAAAAATGCCGTTTTGGTACCTAAACTTTGACACATGAGTGGTTTTAGTCCTCAAATTTTGGACGAAAACAAATTTGGTACCCGAACTTTCAAATTTTGAGCACGTTTAGTACCCTTGACAATTTTTTTCCAAATTGCTACCAAAAAAAGTCATGTAACAGTCACATGTCCGGTCACTATTGTATAAAAAATGTCAAATGCTATTCTAATACTAAATATTAAGTTTAAGCACTAATAATGTAATAAAAAAAACCTATGGACTAAATAACATCACATGAGTCATTTAAAAAATAAAAGAAGAAGGAAACGATGTAACTGTGTTCCATCTCTCTCTCTTTCTCTCTCCAAAAGAAAACCTAAGAACCAAACTTCAACAAAAATTCAAGTTGGGCATGGCGTGATCTAGCATATGTCGAAAACATTACTTTCTTAATCCCGGTTTATCAAGAAGCATGAATGCAATAGATTCTACTTTCAAAAGGCTAGTCCCTAGGTTTTTGTTCTTGGTGATTATCAATTGACTCATGTGATGTTATTTAGTCCTTAGGTTTTTTATTACATTATTAATCCTTAAACTTAATACTTAGTATTAGAATGACATTTGTCATTTTTTTGAAATGTTTTATACAATAGTGGCCGGACATGTGATTGTCACATGACTTTTTCCGGTAGTAATTTGGGAAAAAAATTGTCAAGGGTACTAAATGTGCTCAAAATTTGAATGTTTGGGTATCAGATTTGTTGTCGTCCAAAATTTAGGGACTAAAATCGCTCATCTGTCAAAGTTTAGATACCAAAAGTGTATTTTTCTCTTGAAAAATCGATCATCAAATGATTTCTCATCAGTCTCTACTCAATCAATCCACTGCTGAGTCCAGTAATATAAAACCCCATTGATTCGATTTCAGCGACTACTCGCTCAAATGGGTTTTGTTAATCTTCTCACCATGGCGAAGAGATTCACTGGAATCATCGCTATTCTCTTGTTGCTGAGGCTGACAACAGCCTCTGCTTCTCATGAGGTAATACTAGTCTTACCACATGTACTCCTCTTCTAAATTCAGTAACTCTTTATCTAGGATTTTCATCAAGTTTACTTTAATGGGTTGCTTGGAGATATTGTAAAAGTTTCTTCCTTTAGTTTTTTTTTCCCTTTACTTCTTTTATTGCATATTTTATAGCTTCAATTTTCTTCTTCCTCAATATGATAGTATTGCAATGCAGTGGGAGATATTGAAATGAGATATGATTGAATGAATCGAGAAATTTGCTGTTTCTATTTCTTGATAAATTCGACTTTTAAATTATTAATGAAGTTAATACTACTACTTCGATTAACATGTTCATTCGTACTCGGTGGGTTTTTCTTGTCTAGGGAAAGTTAGTGAAAAGGGTGCGTTATGTTGCCTATTTAATAAAGAGGATGCAATCAATGGGCTATTTAGTGTAAAGTTCTGTTGTACTGATTTGTGTGCGAATTTTGGGTTATTTACTTAAGTGTGCTCGATCATCAGTGTAAATTCAAAAACACCACAAATCAGTCTCCATCTAATTTTTGTATTGAGCTATTTTTCTTCTGCATTGAAGACAGAAGGTCCCCATTCTGTTGTCATAACAAGGATGTTTCATGTCCATTTGCAGAATTTGTGGCTTTAATAGTGACAGGCAGAGTAAAATGGAGATTCAATGTCGACCATAAAATAATAAATCAACCTGTAAATTTTATTGCATTGGATAACTGGACCTGCTTAGTCCTTTAAATCTTACTTCCTGGACTGAGATCTCTTTTCGGTATTATTCCAGGAGAGAACACGAAACCTGATAAAAAAACATTCTCGATGGGAATTTTTTTTTGTGCTTCTTGCTGCAAAATTTAGTTAACTAAGCAATGTAGATAAACCCAGTATTGACCAATGTTTCTAACATAAGTATGTCGCTTATTGCAGTTTTGTGATGCTAGGATGGGTTACAATGTTGTTGGATGTGGAGGATCTGACTCCTCTTCACGAAGGATATTGATTAAGGGAGGGACAGTTGTAAATGCTCACCATCAAGAGGTTGCTGATGTTTATATAGACGATGGGATTATTGCTGATGTGAAACCTAACATCAAGGTACTATTTGGTTGTTGTATGGTCAAATCACAAATTTTAGAACTTGTCTGACGTTAAATTATGGAACTTAGTTTATGTGCAAACTAGCTATGGGTGGCAATGGGTGGTTTTGTGTTGTTTGTCTTCATCTTGTGTTATTACTTATATATAATGGTGTCAACCTGCAAGGTTTTTTTTTTCAATTTCGTTCTTTTGCCTGGAAGATCTATTCCATTTTTTAGGCTGAAAAACTCAACTTATCGATACTTGTATAATCATCTTGAACATATGTCAGACTTTTTAAAAAAAATAATGTTATGCACTTTTTATTTGTAAAATAGACTAATTGTATGCACGTTAAGAAAATCACTAAATATCAAAAATAGTACTTACAATATCTGATATGTCTAATATCACATGGACTATATGTGAAGTGCTATACGATGTTGAAAAGAGCTGGACTTATGCATTAGATGTATGTAGAACATAGTAAGCATATCATACCGAATATCATATCAAACAGGGTTTGCCCATGTGTCAATCTCATTATGTTGCTTTTTAAATCATGTCCAGTCTTTTAAGGACTTGTTAACAAAATCTCATCAAATCCTGGCTAGCTTCTTTACTGTCTTATTTTGGATTTTAGATGGATATATGTTAAAGCTAGAATAACTGTAAGGGCTATGTTTAAATTAAATATCAACAGCTCATTTAGTCTTAACCAACAAATATAAATCCGAAAACGTTGTTTACTGCTGTACAATGGGGTGGACTACTGCATTTTGTTTACATTCATTTGTTGGTATGGCCTTCGGGGAAGGTTTCTGGGATCAGAATTTCTATTTACCCAACTTTTGGTGTCATTTTGAAAATTCACAGGTATCATTAATTTAATTTTTAGAATGTAATATGGAGTATGAGTGGACGAATGTCATGCCAATCAAGGAATATGGAGAATGTTTTAAGTTAGGGCAAACAATCCTACCAGCCATTAAACTATTCCAATAGCACCTTTTGGTCACTCGAGTATTTTGAATTTCAAATTGGTCACACAACCAGCAAAATAGGCATTTGAGTGGCCATTCTATCTGATTTGCTGTTAATTCAAAGAAAATGCATATTGCATGCAATGCATAATGCAAAAGACACGGGTAAGATAATTCAGCACTAGCTGTATGATTTTTTTTTTTTATGGACAAGAAAAATTTGAGCATGGCAATCATACGTAGTTTTAGCACTTCCTAAATATTTTCTATTTACGTGGAAATCTTTTAACATTTAATTTACCAACAAACATGGCAAAACTACATAGTTCAGCTCCTCACTTATTTCTGTTTTCTTTTCATTTTGCATGTTCATCTTCCTTGCTTGTTTTGGAAGACAATCTTGCCATGGCAGCTGTAGTATGCCGGCATGCCACCGCACTCATCACCATAGATGTAGTCTTGGATAAAAGGGACACTATTGGACTTGAATTTTCCCATAGAATGCAATCTAACATTGGATTGGCCCCAAAATGGTTGTTGAACAGCCAAATAGGTACACACAAGGCACCATCTCTCCTTTGAGAACATAATTAGATTCACAAAAGTCATACAAAATCTCGGCGGAATCCAGGAAAGCATGATTGTTATTAAAATAGGCAAAGTTAACAGCCCCAAGGGCATGAATTTTGGATCAAAATCCGAAAGTTAATGACACCTGTTTCTATTTATTTTGAGTTAAGAAGTTTATCTTTGACCCAAAAGCACAAAAACAAAGAGAAAAACAAAAAGAAAAGACAAAAGAAGGTTGATATTCGGATGCTGATGCTTGAGTTAGAGGTGATTGTGCAGCCATAGAAGTGGCGGCTGGAACATGAGAGGGTAACGGTGAAGAAGATGGAGAAAAAGAAAATTAGATAAACTAAATTGGGTTATCACCCTTAATTATATAGTGAGTAGTCAATTATGTCCTCATCTTTTGTCCTCTCCCCCAACTGCCAAATTAGATAGAATGGCTATCGGTGTACCTGTTTTGTGATTTAAGTGGCCAAATTGAAACTTAAAACGGTTGAGTGGTCAAAAGTAGTTTAATGGCTGGCATGATTTTTGCCCGTTAATTTATTTTTAATCTAGATGTGCTTGCAGGAGAGATTTTATTTTGCAAAACTAAATTATACAACATGCACAAATTGATCAATGAAGATGAGTAAGTTCACATACAAATTGTGATTGTAGAATCTTAAAGCATGACAAATATGGCAAACAAAGTTTGATATTGTTGTGTCATATACAATTTGAAGCAAGTTATACATTGCATTGGTTCTTGAACTCGTTGATATGTATCTATATAGATGTAATGAGCAATTAGTTGTAGCATGAAGTCTGTGGCAGCAAGTCTCTAGATTTTAGCACCTTAGCAGTATTGTCTACTTGCATCACTTGTAATTTGGTATCTTGAGCATCCACAACTTATTATCTTCTCATTCGGATTGTAGCTTAAATGACCTCAGATGGCTTTGCAATCTGTTATGCCTATTTTTTATACGTTTTTGATGCATATACTTGCCATCTGAACCTCAGAAATCCCATCTTCAGGTCGGTGATGAAGTTACAGTAATTGATACCACTGGAAAGTTTGTCATGCCAGGTAATATCTTCTCACTGAGGCTTTAGTATTTTGTTTATAAAGAAACTAATAATTGTTTATAGTGTTCTACTGTATACTTCATATGACTCATGTTATTTCACTGGATTTGTTTCTTTTTTGCTTTCATTTGAAAAACACATCCAAAAGATATCAATTTAAGCATATAGCTGATTGAATTTGAATATGGAATTTATTTGTTCTGAGGGCAAGATAGGTTTTGCCTTTGCAGATGGTTGTGAAAGTGCATATGATTTGTTTAATAGTCCTTTGTTCCAAAGTCTTATACTTCTCAAGTTTAGCTTTCTCATCTCTTCTTTGTAGGTGTCATAATTGTTTACTGCATAACTTAAATGAGATGCATAGATTAGCAAGGAGCTGTGCTGAAGTGTTACATTCTTAGTTGCATAAAATGGATGGCTTAATGAAGCATCTAAATATATGAATTAGAAAGAAAGATAAGTGTGTCTCTAATGGAGAAAAAGGTAAAGGCATCACATAGATTGAAAAAATGCAGCACAAAAAGGCATGGCATGATATTCATGTGAACAATATGAAGTGTCACAAGTTTGTACTAGAAAAGTTTGCTATGCCTCGAAAGCCTTCTTCTTTACTTTCTGCCCCTTTGACTGTCAACCTTACACATGGAGGCACCTCTTGTTGTCATGAGCATCGAGAAATCTTGGATATTGTTTTGAGTTGCTTTTGTTTTCAATTTGTGGTATTTTTTTGTTATTTTCCATTAATTCCTACAATTCCAGGTCAAGTATATTTTGGCAGGTTGGCATCTAGCTGACTAATTCGGTGAAACAATAGCTATGACAGCTAGCTAACTTACATTTGGTCAAGTGCACAAGTTTGGCATATTTTCAAAATATAACTTTTGGACAAGATAAACATTCCAGACTTAACCAAGCAAGAGCATTAAATGAAAGTGGATTGTTGTGAAACATCAGAGTAATAAAACTATTATGAAATTTTGGATGACTGTGGAACATAAATATGAGCAGAGTAAGTATATTCTTGCCAGAGCTAATGCCATAATACAGTTGTATTGAAGTTTGCAGAAACTTCTGGCTATAGTTAGTCATAGTCCTACAACTCTCCTAGATTTGGTTAGAAATTTCAGTATTCTGTCTTCTCATTCTCCTTAAATTCTTCCTTTATTGTCACTTTGGTTGCTCCTATAATCCTTATATATTTCCCCAACTTGATACTTCCAAAATTGCAGTTGTTTACCTTAATTTGAAAAATTCTGAATTGCTGATTGTTTTTGTTTGTGTATTCCATTTTGTGATGATCCTTTGTATGATGTATCACTTTGATCCATTAATGTCAGGGGGAATTGATCCTCACACTCACCTGGAAATGGAATTTATGGGTACTGATTCTACTGAAACAATTGATGACTTCTTCAGCGGCCAAGCTGCTGCACTAGCTGGTGGAACAACTATGCACATTGATTTTGTCATGCCTGTGAATGGGAGTCTATCTTTAGGGTTCAAAGCATATGTAGAAAAAGCAAAGAAGTCTTGCATGGACTATGGTTTCCATATGACAATAACTAAATGGGATGATACTGTTGCAAGAGAAATGGAAATTATGGTCAAAGAGAAAGGTTTGTATACTTTTCTAGGTTAAAATTCCTTGAGTTGGACGTATACAGTAATTTGTGTAAATCATTTATCGAGAAGTTATACATCCTTTTTGATTCAGTGCACAAATTTTCCTTGCCTTGTAGGTATCAACTCCTTCAAGTTTTTCCTAGCATACAAGGGTATTGTCATGATTAATGATGAGCTTCTGTTGGAGGGACTTAAAAAATGCAAGTCGCTTGGTGCTTTGGCCATGGTTCATGCAGAAAATGGAGATGCTGTGTTTGAAGGCCAGAAAAGAATGATTGAACTTGGTATTACTGGTCCAGAGGGACATGCACTTTCTAGGCCCCCTTTGGTAATCTTTATGAGTACAAATAGATGTCTCTTGTTAATACTGCCCATGATAGGTGTTTGCTTTGTTTCCTTATCTTTATTACCTATTCCAGAGAAGTTGCATGGTTCTTGCTCACAAAACAATTGCATGTGGTCTTTACTCACTTAAATGGTTGCCTTATAATACTTGAGCCTATTTTCTTAACTTAAGACTATCATTTTTATCTGGGATTTACTTTAATTTTAGAAGTGCAGGAAGTAAAAGGAGGCTTTGGCTTTTCAAACCGCCTCTTTGTTTACCCTAAATTTACTTTCTTGATCATTTGTCATGCTGTTTCATCTCCCTCAAATCAATCTCTATGTGACTTTTTATTCAAAATGTTTTTGGAGTAAGCAAGCCTGAAGAGCAACTCTTCAACATCAGAAATAGTATGATTTTGTGGATCTGGGTGCTATAATGAGGGGATTGATAGTTAAGATATTTGTCATTGAATGATTGTTGAGCATTACTATATTTGTGACCTCTAGTTTGTGGATCTAATTTGAACTCTATTGTCTTAGTTTACTTTCTATCCCAATCTTCTTTTTGTTATATTGGACTACATTCAGCAGTATGTGCTAATTACACCGTGAAGGAGAGTATGCTGATTAGCTTGGTCCTATTTCCTGAATAAAGTTGCAGTATCTCATGAGGGAATTTGGTAGCATAGAAATTGTGCAGTTGTCGGCTTTACCAGAAGCTTATGAACCTTTATCTGGACATGCAACTATGATTGTCAAATAATCAGTTTCAATAGGGTGCTAAAGAGGGATGAAATGGCTGAATTTGTCTGTTTTTAACTTTAGATGGAACTAGTCAACTGCTGTAAAGTTAACCTCTAGATAGGTATTAGTTTGCTGCAGATGGTCATGCAGTTATCTTATTAGAGTAGATGGCATGATGCTAAATCCATCTTCAGACATATTAATTTCAACCCAAGATTATCTGTCCTGGTCATGCAATTTTATACCCAGTTAATGAGATACAAATACTACGATTCTAATGCATTTTTTAAAATATATGAAATGAAACTTGAAGAATTACTGTTTATGCACTGTTGTTCTTCATCACTTTCTACATTGCTGTCCTGATATTGATCTCTTGGACATGGCCTTTATGTTTGTCGTCTCGTACAATCGTGAAATACCAACGGTTGTTTGATTCTTCCATTAGGTATTTAATCTCAATGTAACTGATAACTCCTTAAATCCATGAGATCTGGGATATTCAAGGGCCAACCACTGTTTATGTCAGTACTTCTTGTGTAAGTTTAAAATGTATTTCTTAGTTGTCTTCAAATACCTAAAGCTGTGGTTTTATCCATCTGAAAAGTTCATCCATAACTTGTTAATAAATTTTGGCTTGTCTTTGCACCAGTTCTTATTAGCACCATAAAGTTACAATGATAGCTGCTCTAACAGTAGGAACACAACAATTTTTCTGTTTGGCTTTTAAAATCAGATGTCAAATTTGGTGACCAGATTTGTTGCGTCTAATTTTGTTTTCTCAAACTAGAGAAGTAATAATTTGCTTTTTATCACGATTTTTTTTTTAATTTACAATTCATGGCAGTTCCATTAGCGAAATCTTCATGCAGCTAGAAGCAGAGGCCACTGCTCGGGCTATTCGTTTGGCTGGTTTTATTAACACACCTTTGTACATAGTACATGTCATGAGCATTGATGCAATGGAAGAAATAGCTAAAGCTCGGAAATTAGGTTTGTCTTTTAAAACCTTAAACTAGTTGCTGGTATATGACTTCATCCTGAATCTCTAACCTCAGTTTGTGTGGGATGCTTCAATTGTATACTCTAATATAAAATACATGCAAAATGGTTGGTCAACAATTTAGGGTGTGTTTGATAAAACTGAAGTATAAAAATTGAAGTCTGAAATCTGAAATCTGAAATTTGAAGTTTGAATCTATGAAGTTATTGAATTGTTAAGTATTAAATCTAATATATTTGAGTGTATATCACATTCAGTGATAAGTGAATAGTTTATCACTTAATTTTGGGAGCAAGTTTTGCCTAGGAAATTCAGTGCCACTTAATTAATTCAGATGTTCAATTTTTGGTTATCAAACGCGTCTACATATGTTAAAATCTGAATTCATTAAGTTTACATGCTGAATTGGGTTATTAAACAGGGCCTTAGTTTCCTCAGCTGGTGTTCTAAGTTTAATTTTCTAATCTAATCCATAGTAATGTGTCACCCTTGATATTTATCTTTGTTCCTTTCTTTTGCTTCACTTATCTTTGCCTTCATAGAACTATATTATTAGCTCATATTCATTATGTGTAATATAATAGATTATTGACCTATTTACTAGGAAAAACAAAAGAAAAAAAGGAGATTATTGACCTGTTAATCTCCCTAAATTGAATTATCTTTAATCTTTTTTTTTCATTTATTAAAATGCACATCACCTACATGGGCTGGGGAGTACTGGAGTAGGCATACCAGTTGAGTAACCTTATATCATAAAGTGTTCATAATAGCTATATGTTGGTTTTTTTTTGGCTTATTCAAGGATATATTTTCATTCAATTGCATTTAATGGTTTTCATTTCTTTGAATCTCAAACATTTTAATTTAGTTGGCCTTGAGTGTCTGAAGTTTTCATTTTGAAATGAGCAACCCAATGCACATAATTGCAGAAGCTGGGGAGAGTGAGGTGATATGCTGTTTACTTTTATCTGTCAAGTGTCAGCTCATGTATAATTACTCTAGTTCAGCTTGTAAATTCTCAAGCAAACATGAGTTTTAGCTCATTCAGCTCAATTGCATGAACAAGGCAAACTTTAGCTCGTGTTGAGAATACTATACTCATTGTATCATGGTCAGAAGTCTTTCAAATCATGATATCAGGCATTCTTGGTGATGTAAATTTACGAGTTCTAGTACAAATAATTATTGACCGGAAAAAGATAAATACAAAGAGATGATAATCAAAGGCAATATGTTTTTTTTGGTCAAGAATAACAGAAATGAAGACAAAAAGAATTTTCCTTTGCAGCCACTTCTTTAGTAGATTAAAGTCTTGTTTGTGTAAGTTACCTCCAATTCCTTTTCTCCTTGTATTTTATCACGTGCACTGTGTGGGTAAGCACAATTGGTATACCTAGCATAACAAATATGTATAACTTTTATATATCACAGATATGCTGATAATTGCTTGTGTGAAACAATCAAAGGCAATTAGTCCTATGTATCAACAGGTATCTTGGAAGGAAAACATCTAGTCACCATATTATGAGTGACCAACTAGTATTTATAGGATTACAAACCTAACAAACTATTTACAAGAAAACCCTTACTAATTTATTATCTACAAGAATACTTATATTCTCTTAACACTCCCCCTCAAGTTGGAGCATATATATCATAAGCACCCAACTTGTTACAAATGTATTTCACCCTAGAGCCCCCTAAACTCTTGGTAAACACATCAGCCAATTGATCTACAGACGGTACATGAGATGTCTTGATGACCCCGTCAAGCAATTTCTCTCGAATGAAATGACAATCAACTTCAATATGTTTTGTCCTTTCATGAAATACTGGATTAGACGCAATATGAACAGCCGCCTGATTATCACACACTAAATTCATAGGCTGTTTATGCTCAAACCCAAGTTCCAGTAACATGCTCTTCAACCAAACCAACTCACACACAGTGTGAGCCATAGCACGGTATTCAGATTCTGCACTTGATCTGGATACAACTGTTTGCTTCTTACTCTTCCACGACACTAAATTACCACCAACAAACACACAATATCCTGTAGTCGATCTTCGATCTGAGGCAGAACCAGCCCAATCTGCATCACTATATCCTTCAATATCAGTGTGTCCATGATTTTGATACAGCAACCCTTTTCCAGGAGCACTCTTAAGATACCAGAGAATCCGTATAACAGCATCCCAATGACTAGTACGAGGGGTGTCAAGAAATTGACTCACAACACTCACTGCAAACGAAATGTCAGGTCTCGTTACAGTGAGATAATTTAATTTACCCACAAGTTTTCGATATTGTTTAGGATCATCAAGTAATGCACCTTGATCTCCTGCTAATTTCACATTGGGATCCATAGGAGTATCCACAGGTCGGCAACCTAACATCCCAACTTCACTCAACATATCGAGTACATATTTTCTTTGACATAAATAAATCCCATATTTAGACCGAACTACCTCAATACCCAGAAAATACTGTAGATGACCTAAATCCTTTGTCTGAAAGTTTGCCTGCAGATTGGATTTAAGTTTCTGGATCCCCACAACATCATCACCTGTAATCACAATGTCATCCACATAAACAACTAATAAAATTTTACCAGTATTAGAATGCTGATAAAATACAGAGTGATCTACTCCACATCTTGTCAGACCGAACTCCATGACAACACTATTAAACCTGCCAAACCAAGCCCTCGGAGACTGTTTCAATCCATATAAGGATTTTTTCAAACGACAAACCAACCGTGGATTCTCCCCCTGAACAACAAATCCAGGAGGTTGTTCCTTATATACCTCTTCTTCCAAATCTCCATGCAGAAATGCATTTTTCACATCCAACTGATGCAATGGCCAATTATAAGTTGCTGCCAAAGAGATAAGAAGACGAACAGAGGTAATCTTTGCAATAGAAGAAAATGTTTCTAAGTAGTCTACTCCATACACCTGAGTAACTCCTCTAGCTACCAGACGAGCCTTCAATCTATCAATAGAACTATTAGGCTGTACTTTTATAGTGTACACTCATTTACAACCAACAACAGGCTTACCTGAATGACGAGGGACAAGATCCCAAGTACCATTTTGTTCCAAAGCAGACATCTCTTCTTGCATAGCTAATCTCCAACCAGGATGATTAAGAGCATAGGTAATAGACTTAGGAATGGAGATAGAATCAAGGAAAGCAACAAAAGAAGAATATGACATAGAGAGACGAGAATAAGAAACAAAATTAGAAATAGGATGTGAAGTACAATGTCTCTTACCTTTGCATAAAGCAATAGGAAGATCTAACTCAGAGGAGGGCGTCATACCTGGATTTGAAGATTGAGAGTTAATTGGTGAAGTGCGTGGCATATCAGGAACTTTCTCAACCATGGAACGACGAGAGTAAACTTGAAGATGAGGACGCGATAATCGAGCTATGGAATCTGGTGGACTAGATAACTCAGATAATAAAGGGGAAGGGACTGGTAAAACAGGAGAGGAAAAAGGGGGACACTGGTCTAACTCACAAGACATACTTTGTTTGATAAAATATGGAGTGGATTCAAAGAAAGTAACATCAGCACAAGTAAAAAATCGATTTAAAACTGGACTGTAACATCTATACCCTTTTTGCGCTCGTGCGTATCCTAAGAAAATACACTTAATTGCACGAGAATCTAATTTATCCACCCTGAGAGCAAGCTGATGAACAAAGCACACACATCCAAAAATACGAGGAGGCAATTTAAACACAGGTTCATGAGGAAAAAGAATGGAGTGAGGTAATTGACCTCCAAGAATATTAGATGGCATGCGATTAATTAAATAACATGCAGTTAGAACTGCATCACTCCAAAATTGTTTGGGCACATTCATGTGCAACAAAAGTGTTCGAGCAATTTCGATTAAATGTCCAATTTTTCTTTCAGCAACTCCATTCTGTTGTGGAGTGTGAGGACAAGAGGATTGATGAATAATACCAGACTTAGTCATAAATGTATTAAAAGGAGTGAAAAAATATTCTTTCGCATTATCACTGCGAAGTATACGTACAGGCACACCAAATTGATTCTTTATTTCTGTAACAAATGCACAAAAAATGGAATATAATTCTGAACGATCTTTCATTAAATAAAGCCATGTAACTCTGGAAAAATCATCAACAAAGACTACAAAATATTAAAAACCTAACTTTGAAGTGACTCGACTAGGACCCCAAACATCAGAATGAACTAACAAAAAGGGTTCAGAAACCCGTTTATTGACTCTAGGAGCAAAAGAAACACGATGATGCTTTCCTAACTGACAGGACTCACATTCTAACGAAGATAATTGACTCAAAGTAGGAATCAATTTTTTCAAATTTTGTAAAGATGGATGACCTAAACGACAGTGAATTTCAAGAGGAGAAACAGTAGCAGGGCATGCTATCGGACCATTGAAATTGAGAAAGTAAAGACCATTATCCTCATGCCCTCCACCAATCGTCCTCTTTGTCTTCAAATCCTGAATGACAACAGAATCAGGAGAAAAAGTAACTGTACACTGTAGAAATTTAGTAAGGTTACTAACAGACATTAGATTAAAGGGCAAATTAGGTACGTAAAGAACAGAAGACAGCGGAAGTGATGGATTAATTTCTACAGTGCCTAGTCCTTTAACTTTAGTGGTAAATCCATCAGCTAAAGTAACATGAGGAAAGGGAGTTGACTCTTGAAAATTAGAAAAAATTTTAGAGGTACCTGACATATGATCAGTAGCCCCGGAATCAATAATCCATGAGTCATTATCTTTTTGTGCTAAAGAAGCAGAGGGAAGAGATGCGTGATTTGTAGCTTGGTACTGTAGGAATTTAACATAATCTTCCTCAGATATAGTAACAGTCTTCTGGGACCCATGTGCTGAAAAACTCGATTCAATTTGATCAGTAGTAACCGCATTAACAAACCTTTTAACCATGACGAATAGCACGTCAAACCAAAGACAGGGTCAAACGTGTGAACAGTGCGCGTGAACAGTACCCCCGCGTGAACAGTACGCGTAAAACAGTGCCGTGAACAGTATGGCGTAAACAGTACCGCGATGAACAGTGCATCGTGAACAGTACTTTTGATAGATGTTTAACCTGAACCCTAGGACTCTTGCTCTGATACCATATCAACAGGTATCTTGGAAGGAAAACATCTAGTCATCATATTATGAGTGACCAACTAGTATTTATAGGAGTACAAACCTAACAAACTATTTACAAGAATACCCTTACTAATTTATTATCTACAAGAATACTTATATTCTCTTAACACTATGGAAATTCAACGTGTAGATCCCTATCTATTTAACACTCAAGATATGGGGCAAAAAATCTGAATGGCCCTCAAACTATATAGTTGGTTGACTTTTAGCGCTACAACTATTAAGTGTATATTTTTGCCCCTCGAACTTGTAAAAGGGTATACTCTCCACCCTTTTGGCTACAGATAATTTCAGAAACCTCCCGAGGCAAAATATTATGGAAGAGAAAATTTTTAGGCAAGACAGGCATATCATATAGTATAATTAATTTAGTAGAAAATTCAATATAAGACAACAGATAAGGGTAGAATTGGGAGAAAAATATGTCTCTGATTAAATGATTAGTATAAGAATATTTTGATGATACAAGGGTGAGATTGTTACAAAAGGTATGGTTTTAGGGGAGGTTAGTGATATTTTTTAGACTTTAAGGATGGCAAGTGATATTAACATAAACTTCAGAGGAGGTTTCTAAAATTTTCTCTAGCCAAAAGCATGGGGAGTATACCATTTTACAAGTTTGAGGGTAAAAGTATGCACTTAATAGTTGGTGGGCTAAAAGTTGATCAACTTAATAGTTGGAGGGCCATCCAAAGTTTTTGCCTTAAGATATATATAGGTTGAACAAGTGGACACCAACATATGACAAAACATGGGACCACTCTTTTTATACTTGTGGGGAGAGGGTAGGGGAAAAATACCAAAAAAAGAAAAGATATAGTTATACTTCTTGGTGTTCTCTGCTTTTCAGTTTGCTAAAAGAGCCTGAATTTTGAGTTGCAGGTACAAGAGATAGCTCAGTAGTGGGCTGTGCATGAGTTGTGCTCAAACTACATGGATGATCAAAGTCCTACTTGTGCTTGCTTTAAGAGGCTATTTTGTGTATCAAGCCCATCTTGGCTAGATTAAATCTTGTCATTCAGTATTAACCTTTATTATATATACAATGCTTGTTCTTTGTATGATTTACTTTCTGGATCTGAATTATTGGGTCTCATACTTAACGTGTCAATCAATAAGAAACAAAACCAAAAAGATGCTCAGAATCAACTCATGCCTATTCTCCAGTTACAAACTTTCCTTGAAGAAAAATGCTTAGGGTCAACTCATGTCTGTTCAGTGACGAACTTTTCCGATTGCTACCTTCCACAGAATTGAGCTATAAAATTTGGTATTCAGGTCTGCCTTAAGGGGCAGTTCTCTTAGTGGTTGAATGAAGCTCAGAGAATGAGTAGCAAGTTACTGGTTCTGACTTTAAGAGCAGCCACAGGGGTTTAGCATGCATCCTCTTTCCTCATTTAGGCACACTCACTTAATTGGGAGGAAATCAGTTAATAGTGATTCTAATGGTTTCAATGTGTCTCCTTTAGCTTAGCAGTCTATACTGTGATACTCTGGTAGTAATAATTATCTGCAAGTTAGAATAATAAGAGACTCTCAATACAAGTATAGATCTGGAATTTCCCTTGCATTGATTTCATCTTCTTCTTATTTTTTTTTTTCAATTGCAGGTCAGCGAGTTGTTGGCGAACCAGTGGTTTCAGGTCTAGTTCTAAATGATTCTGGCCTTTGGGACCCAGACTTCAACATTGCAGCAAAGCAAGGACTTATTTCCTTTCCCTTCAGTTCCTTTCTTGTCCTTCTCTTTCTCTCTCTATGGAGTCTTTTATGATGGATCATGGCTATTTACCTCAAAAGGGCAAAATGGAAAACAATGATCTTGCTTTCTATGCTCAGGTTTGTCATGAGCCCACCTATTCGAGCACCAGGGCATGGAAGGGCTCTTCAGGCAGCGGTTTCAATGGGTGTCCTACAGGTTTTTTCCTGATGATTGACATACAACCCTTCCTTATTGAATAGCCTTGTTTGACTGGATGCAAGCTTTAAAGCAATGCTGCAAACTTGCAATTGCGTAAATAAATAGTATGAAATAGGTGCATCAACTCATAGGCTAATTGAAATTGAAAAGTTAATTAAGAATGCATGGGACTATTACCTCTTATTGTATATAAGTTATTTGAAAAGGTTATGCTTTATAGTTCCAGTCTATAAAAAGGAGAGTATTTTCGGACTAACTGAAAAGACAAGTTATTCAATAATGGAATGATAGAGTTTCATTTTGTAAACGTAAGACAAATTTTGTTATTCTTAGGGATTCCACGTGGTGCCAGAGAACACTGGCAAATCAGCATTTGGAAAGGTGGGTGGGTTGACGGTTTTAAAACCTTTAGGGTTCCTCTTAGTTGAATGTATAATGTGTTCTGTCCGAAGATAGTTTCCATGCAAAAAATTTTGTGGCAAAGACATGATTGCCTAGAAATCTTTTACCACTCAAACCTAGGAGGAGAAATTTACTTATATAGTAATGATCCAAGCATCTTGATGATAACTTTTGAGCAATCCAAGGTGTCATTTATTTTGATACTGATGTATTGGGAATGACATCAAGAACGGTGAGGGGTTTTCTATTCACAATGAAGGAGGACAATTTATCTATTTAGGTAATGAAGTTCTTATAGATGGGAGGAAAATCTGATGGTGTCATAAGATCTTATGGTGGATGTAATTTCAGTATCAATGGCTAGATGGTTTTTCAGCGGCTAAATATTTACTTTGCAGTCTTTGAAACCCATGACCATTTTCTAGCCAAGGGAAGCCAAAGAAAATTTGGAGAATGGGAATAGGAAGTTTGAATACTTCCATTTACCAAAATTTCCCTATATTTTCAGTACATTTTTATTCTTTAAGGTGCACATATGTATGAAATGTATTAGCACATACGAGTGCTTTATGTCCACATAAGGGTAAATCCATGATTTTTCCTACAGCATTTATTTATTACAATATATGGAAAGTACTCTACTCCCCATTCCAAAATCTCCCTGAACTTAAACCCTTATAAATAATGAATCTTCCTATTTCCATACTTCAACTTTCCCCAAATATTTTTCAGCACTGGAAAATTTTCTGCCGTAATGAAACGGAACTTGATTTGTCCCTGAATTCTTCTTCAAAGTTGATGTGTTGACAACATGGCTTCCTGGCACTTCCTTCAAGGGAAATGTACTATTTTCAGGGAAATCTACAGTTCATCTTATTTGTGATCTTTATGCTGTTCCTGTATCATAAACCTGTTAATGTTTTACATTTTGCAGCTAGTTGGTACTGACCACTGTACCTTCAACTCAACACAGAAAGCTTTTGGAATAGATGATTTCAGAAAAATCCCAAATGGTGTCAATGGTAATTCATCTTGTCCTTTGCTTACAAATAGCATGAGTCAATTATGGATGTAGTCCAGATGTTATTTTCTACTTTCTAAAGAAGTCTTACTTGGAATTGAAATGTAGGCATTGAGGAGAGAATGCATCTGGTTTGGGATACAATGGTGGTAAGCTGTATTGGACCTCATCAGTCATATAAAGTTATATATACAAGTGTCCAATAGTAAATTAACTGAAACCAAATCAACATAGGTAGTCCTTGGAGTTTCTTCTTTCCTAAAAAAGGACAATTCTGTTTCCTGGTTTATTATTTTTCAGGCCTCAGGGAAAATATCAGTCACTGATTATGTACGGATAACAAGCACTGAATGGTATGTCATCACTAATATTTGATCTTGTCTTTTGACTATTCACTTTAAGCATTTATTCTACCTATTATACTTTTGAAGACTGTTTTTTGACTCTTCAATCTCATCTAAGCTACTTAGTTGTTGCACCTTGACCTTTGAAATGAGTTTACGTTCTAGTGCTAGGATATTCAATATCTATCCAAAGAAGGGAGCAATACTTCCTGGATCAGATGCAGACATAATCATATTAAATCCCAATTCAAGTTTTCAGATAAGCTCAAATTCTCACCATTCAAGATCAGATACAAATGTCTATGAGGGATGGATCGGGAAGGTAATTTTTCATTACTGCTTGTTGTAATTAAGGATTTGAATGTGCATAGCTTTCTAGAGATTAAATTACTTTGAGCTTATTTAGACTTATAGAGCTCTATACCTGATCACATAGCGATTGTCAAAGCCATATGTGATTCTTCTTTGAATTTGAGGTTTATGATGCATTATCCAGATGAAATTTCATTATTCTTATTTCATTATCTATACAATATTGCATTCTACTGAAAAAAAAATCTATAAAATGTTGTGCATTCATCCATGGGATATCCATTATGAACTTTAAAATGCTATGAATTACCATTGTTTGCAAACTATCTGATGCACGTCTGCTCAAGACATTGCTATTACAAAACAGTATTTTGAAGGACATATCAGTACCCTGCTTTCAGTGGTTTTTTTGTGAGGAAAATTGCCACCTTGAATTTGTGGAGGATTTGGCATGTTTAGATCCTTCAAAGTAGGTCTAGAATCAAGTGCAATCTAACAAAAGATGCCTGTTATTTTACATGATTAATCTTCCGTTTCATATAATCAGCTTATAACTAATATAGTTCAACTAATAGAATGAATTGATGAGTATCTACCGTGTGGTTTCTGGGCATTCTGCTTTTGTATGTTTATACGCATTAGACATTTGGATACTCTGGTTGCACCGTAATAAGTCAAGAATGTCTGATTAATATTATTAGATGTACTTGAGAAAATGATAGTAATTTGCAAAAGAAAATCTTGTTCCATATAAAAGAATTCTCTAGGTCTCACTCCCAATGTACGGTCTTCATTTCTGATTGACATTGGCTCTTTGTATGTATTGAATTTGGAAGATTTTGTTTTTGATGTTCTGCAGGGAAAAGTTGAGATAACTATTGTTGGTGGAAGGATTGTTTGGGAAAATAATGAACTAAAGGTTAATCTTGGTTCGGGCAAATACATAAAAATGCCACCTTTCAATTATCTTTTTGATGGAATTGAGAAAGCAGATGTGAGTTACATCTCTTCCCTAAGAGCACCAGTGAATCGATTTAAAGCCATGCAATGAAATGTATGAATACTTGTAAAGTAACATAATTGAATACTAAATAGCTTTTCGATTCTACAAAGCAATAAGTTGAGGGACTACGTTGATGTATTTTATTTTGTCTCTCTTTTATGAAAGTTATATGCTGGCAAACGGGTGTAAGATTGTTGGCACTACTTTATCACAAATTGTGCACTTCATCCTCTAAGGAAGCCCTAGGTTGTCCTCCTTGTTTAGCAATAGTTAGATGATTTTGGTTCCAAATGTTTCTTAGCTGCTATACTATAGTGCAGATCACAGTTGAAGTTCCTTTTTGCTTTTTAAATTTCAAATCCACTCTCTATATTTGTTACTTGAAATCCTCCTTGTAGATGCTCCCATTAGCTTCTTGTGTTGTGTGAGTTATCTTAAAATTGGTAGATCCGACTTAACTCAGATTGAGTTTATTGAACTTTTCCCTTGATTTTACTAGTTTGTTGGTTGAGACAATGATCAGATTTGCTTTAAAACCATGTTTATATTGTCAAGAGATTCCTGAAAACATTTGCTATGCCACTTGGGGTGCTAGTTTGCCATTGATTGGTGCTATGGAGTGCGAGTTTTCATTCACTTGGTTGCTTGTAGCCCTTTTTGTTCAATTTTGATATTGGAATCGGATTATTGGCAACAAAATGAGTCGAATGTACATGTCTTCATCCGAGAGACTAGTAAGGAAGTTGTTTCCAGTGGTAGCGCAATTAAATCCTACTTGAGGACGTTGTTTGAAAGGTAGATGTGGATCAGGGTTTAAGTACCACAAATTTCTGTACAACATTTTCCATCATTCCAATTTTGTACACTAGTATATATGTGTTATTTCTGTTCTTCCTATTTTGCAAAAGGTTTGGCTAATGAGCACCTGTTAGATAAATTCTTTTCTAAACTAGCATATATGTTTTTGTTTACGGACAATAAAGAGACATATATGTTTTAGTTTACAGATAAAACATGCATGCTTTTATAGACACAGAAAATTTTTTTTTTTTCTTAACTAAATTTGAAGGTAATTGATTTCAAATCTTTTCTATAATAAAGATACTTTGATGGATCCATGGGAGTTCAAACTCCTCGAGGGTCGAAGCCTCAAGTTCAAGTGATACTTCAAGCTCTAAGCTACACTTTGCTTTGAGTGACTACGGATGAAGAGTTTCCAAGAAAGATAGTTAAGTGGTTCGTTTGAGAATGTTAAGCAAGGGTTAAATTGTCATTTTTCTCGCTGGTTTGAGTCGTTTCTTGTAGCTTAAGAATTCGGTTAGATTTGTCAAAGAGAAGACCGAATTCCTAGTACTTAGTTTAGTTGGTTAGGTAGTTTATTTAGTTGACTTAAATTCGATCAAATTTGTGCTCTTAGGAGACGACTTTTAGTTAGGGCGTAAGTCATTTAAGTAAGTTCAAGTCACATTAGGTTTATGAGTCCATGTAAGGCTATAAAATAGCCTAATCTTTCCAACATTTTTTAGCTAATCAGAAAATTACAGAAATTGTGAGTTTATTCACTTTTTCTTGTCCAAGAGAGTTTTTTTTTTGAATACATGAGAGTTTTCTTGAGTTATTCAATTCGAACTTATCAATCAGATACACACCTCGGCTGTGGCATTCTTCTACCAACACTTTTGGTTCGCTAAATTATTAAGTTGTGGGTCAAAATTCATCTTGGTTCATTGCTTCGTGGTTTAGAAGGTCAAGGGTTCCACTTCAACTTGATTTCTTCGTCTAGGTCCAGTGTTACATGGGATATGAGTTCATACCTTCAAGCGGGTTCGTATCAGTTTGGTAATCAGAGTTAGTTGACAATATCAAATATATCACGTTCGTATCTTCGCAAGTTTGCTTGTTTTCAAATCTGGTCGCTTTACTTTCCACAGAGTCGTTAAGGTTTTTTATTATTCCAAATTTGTCCGCATCTTGTTTACCTTCTTGTGTCCAAATCGTGCCTTGTTTGTGTCCCAAATCTGTCCAAATTTGTTGCATTTTAAATCGTGTCTTATAGCGTCTTGAATCTGGTCATACTTCATCTTGTGCGTTGCTAGGGTTTTCTTTGTTGCATTTTACCATTGCATCTTGTCCTTGCTATCCGTGACATAAATTCTATCGCTGTTTTGGTCTTGTCTTGCATCTTGATATCTTGTTTCTTGAGTCTTGAAATCGAATAGAGTAAAAAAAAATAAATAAATCTGGTTGTTCTTGTTCTTGAAAATCCGAAGCTCTATTTGGGGTTTTCTTGACAAAGTGTGTTAGGGTTTTGTGTTTCTTGCAATAATTGTGGCTGATTCCTTTGTTTCTTGGAAGTATACAAAATATCTTAAAGTTTCTTGATAAATTTCTTCAATTTCTGGAATTTATTGAACAAATTTTGAAGTTCTTGGGTTGAAAACTAGGGTTGCTTGAGAATCTTGAATCCAAGTTTCCAAATCTTCAACCTTTTTTTTTGGCAAACTATAATCCGTTTCTTGACAAAAGAAAGTTGCGGCTGATCTTTGTGCAAACCCTAATCGTTTCTTGATTCTTTGAGCCTTGATCCGAATTGGAAAAAAAAAGAAACAAATCTGGTTGCATGAAAATAAAAAAAGAAATGCAAGAAAAGAAAGAAACAAGAGTTTGGATCAATCTTGAAGTGGAAACAAGAAAGCAATCTGATTTGGGAATCCAAAGTTGGATTAATAATAAATCCTAGTCACAAGAAAACTGTCCAGATTAGACTTGCCTCAAGTGCACACGTGAAAACTCTCCAAATCAGCAGCCTTATCTTCCAAAATATACCCAAGATCCAACGTGAATTGAATTCCAAAAAAAAAAAAAAAAACTCCAGCCAAGGTACAATCGGGTAGTACAATTCTTGGCTTCCAAAATTTCTGCTATTTTGTTTCTTACTTAATCGAGTTTTGTAATCTGTCCAGTCATTATATTTGAGTCTTTTGAGTTTTTTTCAGCCTATAAATCGTGTCTAATAGGTCCCAATAGGCGTCCAAATCAGTCTTGGGTTCCAACCAATCTTCGTTCCTAATTTGAGTCACGAGTCAAAGTCCAAAGTTTCCAAAAATTGAGTCACCTTGTGCGGACAAAATCTGGTAATTTTCCAGCATATTTAGTATTTATTTTGAGTCATTAATTCAGTCCATTTCACTCCAAATTTCCAGCTTTAAATCACCACCACCTTGTGAGAAAACTTGGTGAAAGTTTGATTGAATCTCATTGAGAAAATTCTGATTTCTTCAAGAAAGGCAATCAAGTAACTTGAAAAGTGTTTGGTGAGGTTATTAGAGCATTTAAAACACTTGAATGATACACGAGAGTGAGTGAAACACGTAAGGAAATGGCAAAGTAAAATTTTCTGTTCTATACTAACCCTTTCTTGCAGGTCTAATATTAAAACCATGTCTAACGAAGAAGAAAGCACAACAGCTTTTGATCTTTCACGTTTAGCAGAAAGTTTGAAGGAAGAAATTGGACGCCTCTTGGATCAAAAGCTTGAGCCAATGTATGAATGCCTTGGTGGGCTGGAAGAGTCACAAAGCAGCATGCCTTGGTAGGCTGGAAGAGTCACAAAACAGCTCAAAAGGTAATCAACGAGATGGAAGAAGCCGTGATAGACCCATGGCTGAGTTTAGTGATTCTAACTCGAATGACGATTTTGATCATGGACAAAGAAAATCGAGGAGGAATGTTAAACCAGTTGGGGATGCAATCAAAGGAATTAAGATGAAAATTCCACGTTCAAGGCAAATCTGATTCGGATACATACCTTGAATGGGAAAGGTGTGTGGAGTTGGTTTTCGATTACAATAACTATACGGATGAGCAAAAGTTGAGATTGGTTGTAGTAGAATTCACTTACTATGCTATAGTTTGATGGGATCAAGTGGTTACAAACCGAAGGCGTTGTGGTGAACCATCTATAACCACTTGGACTGAGCTTAAACGTTTCATGAAGAAGCGATTTGTACTAGGTCACTACTATAGAGACTTGTACCAAAAACTTTAATCCTTGTCTTAAGAAAATCGCTCAGTTGAGGACTACTACATGGACATGGGAATTTCCATTCTTAGAGTTGACATTAATGAGGATACGAAAGCAACAATGGCACGTTTTCTCAATGGTTTGAGACCAGGAATTGCTGACCAACTTGAGCTGCAATACTATGTCGAGCTAGAAGACATGGTGGAGAAAGCAATCAAAATTGAGCGAAGGCTCAAGAGGAGGGGTGCAACCAGAAATTATACCCCTAGTTTCATTCCAAGCCAGCAAAATTTCCCGCCTATGAGGGATGATAACAGTTTGAGTAATACTACCAACTCAAGGCCGAGATGAGAGGTGACATCTACCTCTCGGACAAGTGCAAATAAAGCCGATTCAAGGGGAGCTTCTAAACCAGCAAATGAAGCTTCAAGCTCTAAGAATCGAGATACTAAGTGTTGGAGATGTCAAGGAGTTGGACACATTGCAAGTCAATGTCCAAATCAAAGAGCCATGCTCATGTTACCATATGGAGAAATCATCATTGATGATGAGGAGGAAGAGTACAATGATATGCCTACATTGGTTGAGAAGGAGGAAGAGTTAGAAGAAATCTCAACTAATGACAAAGTTGGTTTGGTGGCAAGGAGAGCACTAGCTACATAAGCTAGTAAGGAGGGACTTCAATGAGAAAACCTCTTCTATACAAGGTGTCATGTGAATAACAAAGTGTGCAGCTTGGTGATTGATCCAAGGAGTTGCACTAATATTGCTAGTGCATTGATGGTGGAGAAACTCAACTTGCCAACTAGTGAGCATCCTCGGCCTTACAAACTTCAATGGCTAAACAACAGTGGTGAGATACGTGTTCTTAAACGAGTTTTAGTTTCTTTTCGTATTGGTAGATATGAAGATGATATTTTATGTGATGTAGTACCAATGCAAGCTGCACATATGCCGTCCATGGCAATTTGACAAAAAAATAATTTTTGATGGCTTTTTGAATAAATACTCTTTTGTGCATGGCAATAAAAAAGATAACACTTGCACCACTTACACCTCAACAAGTGCATGAGGACCAAGTTAGCTTACCAAAAGTGTTTGACATGCATGCTGGAAAAAGGAAAAATTTGAGGGAAAAAGGGGTAGGTTTGGCTGAAAAGGACCAAGAGAAAAAGGGAAATGTACATTCGGCCATTGAG